CGGCCCGCAGGTCCCGTTGCCAGTCGTGTCACCCTAGTGGGGGGCCGGGTCACACTCATACAGCCTGAGCTAAAAGTCTCACTTGTGCAGAGTCGCCAGCTGCGGTCTGAGACAGCGCTGGTGGAGGGGGGATGTGAGGGGGGGGTGTCGGGGGGGGTGGGGGGGGGGGCAAAAAAAAGAGGCGCTTTCAGATTTGGGGGGAGTGGAGACAAAATAACGGCACCCGTCGGCCCGCAGGTCCCGTTGCCAGTCGTGTCACCCTAGTGGGGGGCCGGGTCACACTCATACAGCCTGAGCTAAAAGTCTCACTTGTGCAGAGTCGCCAGCTGCGTTCTGAGACAGCGCTGGTGGAGGGGGGATGTGAGGGGGGGATGTGGGGGGGGATGTGACTAGATGGTGACGAAGAGGCGCCTAGCAAAACATGGCCAAGAAGAGCGTCTGCTGACCTCGGCAGGTTCACGATGAGCCCAAGAGTCTTGTTTATGTATATTTGTGCGTGTGCGTGCGTGTGTGTGTGTGCGTGTGTGTGTGCGTGCGTGTGTGTGTGTTTCCGTTTGGCTTGAGGATAAGTGGACCGTCACTGCATTAATTACAGAAAATTACCTACAGCTAGGCTCTGTGGGCGCCAGGTAGTTCACAGGAAACGGGAGCTGGTGAAGCAGCGATCTGGATCCTTTATGGGAAGTTGCTGAGTGGAAATAATTGGCTGTTATTTCCGTTTCAGCCCTAAAAAAATCTAACCAGACTAGCCTATTTAGATAAACACAGAGCATAGTCCAAAAATGAACAGATGTTATTTCTGGACACAGAAATTCTTGTTATTGAGGAATATTGCATTAATTTCAAACGAAGGCCATGTACATTTTGAATAGCCAATGTTTTATGCTTGTCATGTTTAAAGTATTGTTCTTCAAAGGGTGTTCAGTGAAACTAATAACTGAAATTCTGGGGTCTGTAAGTGATACCCTGTTTGTCTTTATGTCTCGTGTACGATTGTGTGGGGAGCTGTTTAGTAACACCTAGTGATTCTTCCTGCTAGTATAGGTCGTTCACATCCAAACAGCCCGAGGTACAAGTTCAACTTCATTGCCGACGTGGTGGAGAAGATCACCCCAGCTGTGGTGCACATAGAGCTCTTCCTCAGGTAAATGACCTCTGTAGGCGTTGCTACTTAAGAAGAACCAACACCATACGTGGACCTGTCTGTTCTCCCTTG